AAAAAGGATGACTGTGCCAGACTTGTTCGTCGGCTTTCACCGACTGATCTGTGTGTGTGTGTGTGTGTGTGTGTGTGTGTGTGTGTGAATTGCATGTCGCCATCTGGCAGAGAGGCTGCAACCTGTCCCCGGCATTATGCCTGTGTAATTGACCAGCAAGCTGCCTTTCAGTCTATCGTCGTGCTTGCAAAGCATGAACTTAGACCTTAAATTGGCCAAGTTCGTGGTTTGTCTGTGCCACCAGCCGGGTTCCCACTGAGTGTTCAGGCCTTCTATCCGAGGGACGCATGACCTCGATCCTCTTGGAATACGCTTGAACCGACGGTTGATGGACTCCTCTTGGAATACGCTTGAACCGACGGTCGATGTGTCCATCAGGCCACATTTGTCGAAGTCGCTCAAGTCGAACACGATCACCTTGCTTAGTGTGCCTCAGGACCCTGGTCATTTATCTGGCCAGGTTCATGCTTTCATACCACAAACACAGCACCAAGGGGAACAGCAACCCGCAAGAAATAGGTGTTTTCAGAAGAGGGCCGAGGTCCCACTAGCAAAAAGGATTGGATGAAGCTCCAGAATCTGGACGCGTTTTAATCAGAGATGCAGGAAAGCAGTTCAATCTCGATTTTCTGCACCTTTCCACAAACACGTCCAGATGCGGGAGTTCAATCCAATCGAGTTTGCTAGTGGGACCTCGCCCCGGGTTCTACGATGAGATGAGAAAAAGCTACGTAGTTCTTTTAAGCCACCAGCACTTTGCCCAGCCATTTTCCTCCGACGCGGCCACACTACCAGAGCGAGTGGCTGGCCGTGCCAGCCTCACCGCCAGCCATAAGGAGGCTCGTGCCTGTTCGCAATTTTTTGGAGCGCACGGTCGGGAAATTGTTGAGTTGCCAAACCGTACTGGTGGCGCTGCACTGCATGCCAAGCTTTTTTTTGGGGGGGGGGAAATTGCATACAGAGCCAACTTGCATCTATACCCAGACCCCTGGTGTACCCAACCTTTCCCTTGTGCAAAATTCTACACGTACCCAGCCGGGCCAGTCCTGCAGGTCATCCGTAGAGCACACGAAATTATGCTGTCGAGCGCATCCGCCCTCGCGTGAACGAGGGCCCTCCCGGCCATGTCACGCAAGAGTAAAACAAAACAAAATCAGAGACAACTTAGGAACGACGTTTAAATATCCCACGAACCGCCGAGACGGACGTGGTTGCATCGCTCCTTCGCCGCTCTAACCGTGAACGCCAGCAATACATCCCATGGTCCCCTACGACAGGATAGGTTCCCGCGGGGCATTAGCTTGCTTCCCTAAGGGGCTGTCACCACCCTTAGGGGCGTATCCCTACCGAGCTACCGACCCACATGCGAAAGCTTTTAGATGCAATTGCAGAGGTAGGTCAGCCGAGGGCGTTTGCTCGTTCGCCGTAGTATAGATACGCTGGTTAACGCCAAGTGGACCCGAACGTCGTTCATTTCTTAGGGTGCTGATCTCCTAAGTACGAAGCGGACGCCGGTCGACTAGGACGGTCTCTACCAAGTGTGAAACCACAAAATTAATCCTACTCCCTTAGACACACAATTAAGAGAAAGTTATAACAAACACACATAAGTTCACAATAAAGAGTCGACCGTAGTCGACAGGAACATGCCCAATCTGAAATGATGACTGAAATAATTAGAATCATCATATGGTACGTCCAACAATACGATATCAAAAACAATCCGACCACTCCGGGTCGAATTCCACAAAAACGATCATACAATCGCCAACGGGAAGTTGACTATCGATAATAATATTAATGCAGCCGACAAGGTAGCCGGACTGCCTTAATTTTGACTTGATGCGACACGCTGTCAAAGTTATTCATTCCAACTAAAGTCGACCTATGATTGAACACACATACGCTTGTCTCCCTAAATTCTCAATTTTCCTGGATGACAGGTTGCTTCGCGGATAATTCTTGATCAGGGGCATTGCTTGACGTGTTGCATGCCTCTTCCTCTAGGAACTGGTCTATGGATACTCTTTCCCCTCGCCTGAGCCCGAAGACTCAGATCTCAGAGCTTGGGCCGTCACCACCGAGTCGGCAAAGTACCACCCTCGACGAGTCGGGTCCACTCCAAGTCGATATCATGGTTGGCTCCGAAAGCATACGAAGCCTTGGATGCTTCCTAGATAAAAGAGAATGCGTTCACGGTAAGTAGTTTTCAATTATTCTCATCCCTTCTCGGTTCATGGTAACTTAGACGTAAAGAAATTGAATGAGATAGAGAATGAGAATCATTTTGACAGGTACAAGTAGATAAAATCGGTTGTGATAGACTGCTCTCACGGTACCCGTTGTAGTTATTCATTCCAAAATTCAAGTATTTTATCATGCAGCAGGCGAAAGACTGAAAGAGAACAATCATTTTTCTTTTCTCCAACAGGCAAAGTCAATCTCCTTAGCAAGCATCCTCCTACCTACCTGCACAACATGCAAAGAAAACAAGTTCAAAGGAAAACAGTACAATCTCACACTCGAGTCAGACCACTTCATCCACATGCACGATTCTCACAACTTTCTTCTGCCTTTCCTTTTGAACATTAAAAATGACAAGGTCAAGCAAAGTGTGGGTTCACGCAGGTGTGAAGGAAAATCTGAGTCATTCAACTGACCTTGAGTGAAGTTGAGTCGGCTCACTCAAGAAAGCCAAATATTTTCTCAAGAGTCGTGGCCCGCACAACTCACGTTGCGGCCGTTCACAAGGGTAGCCACGCTCTCCCTTAGGTACCACCACTGACCCAGACGCCGCTCACCAATCTAAAAGTGAGCTTGCCGTTTGAACAAAGTGTTCCCCCTCTCAAATCTCACACAGTCTCAGCGACTCTTTCCTCCCAAATATAGCGTCACCTCGATCCGCCAAATACCAAGTCAGGTCACCACACGCCTGCCGCAATACTTGGCGGCCCCGGACTTAAACCCCGCTCGTTCAACGTGCCGCAAAAAAACTCCGGCCTTGACAACTCCTGCACGTGTCGCATGCCACAACGCCCTCAACGAGACGATCGCCACACCAAGTCAATTACAAGGCGATCCACACCATTTCCCTGTGACGACCACCTGTCTCGTCATCCTCATTCACTCCCAACAATTTGACAGCGCTTCAATGCCCGCCGTCACGCCTTCCACATCACCACGTCCTAACGACCTCACGCCCACTCTAGTTCAAAAT